ACTTCCAGTGGGGACTCGGTGGCGAACAGAATACAGGTAAGTGTAGGATCCATGTCCTCATCTTCACTGACAATCTGAGAACTTTCGGTGAACCGCACTGTCCCCAAAGGCCGCGGTGGAGCTCCTGTGAATGACAGAAACTGTCTCAGTCACTGAGTATGAAACTCTGTACAGGAGGTTCTTGATCAGATTATTGAACTTGGTGGCTTGAATGGTTTTAACATAGGCCAGGAACCTCCTATAGTATGTTCAAGAATTGCAAGAGATTGTACAAAGTTTTATTTGGGAGATGCTACACTCAGTAAGTTTAACAAAGATGAACTGCGATGCCAGTAGGACCAACATGACAGAATAAGTATTATCCACTGTAGGTGAAGCCTCACGGTCAAGGATATTCACGATTGCCACCATGCGTCCGGGATCAATTCTCTCTCCAAATCTCGGGAACAGTCCGAGGAAAAAGAACTCAGTTGGCTCCATAAGGAGGTCTGGTAGAATATCAACTTTGACACATTCAAAGTCTCCCTCCACAGATCTCCATTCAAACTGTACTACAGTCAGAACCTGCTCTGCATCGCCATCTGGTCCAACTGCAGTACAGAGACACCAACGCTTAATGTACACCGCCTCCAATTGTTTCTGGCTTTAAAAGAGCTTTGCAGTAATGAATGTTGTACACGACATCCTGAACTCTAGAACTCAGTAGCGTCAACACCAATGCGTGCTAGATTTATGTTCATGTATTGCTTGCACCTTGTATTGAAGTGTTTTAAGTGAAAAAAGCAATGGAGGGGTTAAACGCACATAAGAAGGAATAGCCTCTTAAACTGTCTCTTTCTATTGTTGACATTAATAATATATCCAGCATTTAAAAATGTGCTTCGACGAATGCTATAAAAGAGCCTCTTCATATGGAGTTCTTACCATCAGCGGTGCCTGAGATGCTAACCATCTGCAGCGAGAATGGTTCATTTGAACCTCCACTGAATATCTCCACACATACTTCCAGCGTCTCTCCTTCGCTGATACTGTACACAAGGTTCCGAAATCCAAGAACAGGTGGTTCAAGAACAGCATCTGTAAAACAAGCAATGTGTGAAGTAATGCATGGAGCCAAACGTTTTGTAGACTATTAGCTATGGCCAAATCATAAGACAACAGTTTAATTAGCACTTTCTGGGGCATTAAGTAATAATTATTATTGTTCCTTCAGGTGCCTCAGTTTTTTTTTCCACAGCATGTGCATGATTGCAAAAATAATTACAAATGAACAATGTCAAAATTCATTTTACACAAAACCTTTGCCTATAATCAATCTCATCAATATACAGCACCAAAACCGGCCTTTTGTTGCTGTCTATGCATGAAACCTACCGCCCAGTATGGTGACTTGTAGCACGTCAAGATTTTCTTGATTCCCAAACAAAAACAGTTGGAAAAACTCGTCGGGTTCAGTGACTTGATCGGCAATTATTTCAAGCGTGAAACACACGGTCGATCCTGCTGGAGCTCCAGGAGGGAACGACAAGACACCTCCAACAATTTCAAAGTCACCTTCTGTTATTAAAAAGACATAAGACATATATGTAAGCTGGGTTTCATAAAAGCTTTAGCATCGTAATCATTATCAGTCTCTGCTGCCATAAAAAATAATACTCAGGTGGCAGCCATAGCACTGGGGCCATAGACCATGCACCCAGAGCAATGGCTTGCCATAATAACTAAACCTAGACATTTCAGCAGTAATTTTATTATCTTACCAACTGCTTCAATGGTAGCAACAACACCTTCCCTAAGAGGGTCCAGGGTTGCAACACACACTAGGTACGAAATTCCCTCCATTGCAGTGATGGAATCATTCACAAACTGCAGTCTTATCATCTGCCCCTCTTCATCATCTGGAGAAGAGAGCATTCCCTTCAGTTATATAAGTGAGTGTTTGGAGCGGTTTTTACCCTACCATACAAGATGAACAACCCCCCAAAATACATTTTCACTGGATTAAGGAGACCACGTGTAAAGTCAATGGGTTGCAAATTATTATTTTGTGACTTTCACAGTTTATGCCAAAAAACAAGAGCAGTAGGTACTTTGCATACTACTCTGTGAAGCGTTTTTTTTGCTCTTTGACAAAAACACTTCATGTTATATATAGACGGCACTAAAGCGTGTAATAGGCACATGACTTTGGGGCTAAATGTAGCTACGTGCCACCTGAATACCTACAGTCCCTGTTGTAATGAACTGCATGCTTTCAAAGGGCCCAGTTGCTTACAGAACCTACACTCATTGACAATAGAGATAATATTGGCATGGGTTGTGTTTGCATGAAGCTGCACCACAGCCTCTTCAATTTCATGTGACACTTGAACTGCGTGCTTTGTTAGTTGGAGCTACACACTGCCTCTCACAGAGCATAGCTACGTGACCTAGCTTCATACCTATGATAGAGAGACAAAACCATGTTGTCTTGTAGTGTCGCAAGCCAGCCGAAATTGACAGGCCCGCCGTGACTAGTCCTCATGCAGTAGCTTAGCATTAACTATATACATGTGCCAAGGAATGGATATTTACAGAAGCAGACAAACAATGATGGATTAATAACTAGTTAAGCTCCAACTGAAGATAGTAATGGTATGTTATCTCGAAGTGTTCAACATTCTTCAAGCTTTCAACACTCATACCCGTGGCATTACCAGTCCAAAGACGCTTCTTCAGGCAGTAAAGGATTTGTGTTTGATGAAGGCCTTGGTTAGTGTCTTTGCTACAGTAGACACTAGGGGTAGAAGACACCAGGAGGATGCCAGTAACTGGTTTGCTGCTAAATAGCTACGCATTGAATAATAAAGCGGAGAGGGTTAGCTAGGGTTACTTAAATGCACAACTCACTGTCAATGATAATAATGGTTGCTTGGTCAATAAAACCGTCCCCCCCCTCTGTTATAAGGCCCAGAGTAAACGTCTCATTTCCTTCTGCAATAGCATCATCAACAATGTCAACTTCAGCACACCGCATACTGCCAGGCTCAGCTCCAATTTCAAATGTCACAGTTGGTTGAGCCACGGAATAGTCCTCACCATCTGTGGGGGTTTTCACAAAATCTCTTAATTAAGAATACAGTGCAACCTCCGATAAGGGACCTTCCAAGATAGGGATTGACTTCTCTACAAAGTACACTTTTTTAACCCCGTGATAATTTCTTTAGTGTAATAGTCAACCTCCAAGATTGGCTAGATACCTGTAGCTGTGTCGGTTTCTCTGCCTGTTGCAGTCACGGTGAGAAATAAATCTTCTCGAGCTAGTGAGAGGAGCTGGACACACACTAGCAGTGATGTCGCTCCCTCTGAGACCAGCAGAGTGTCAGCCACAAACTCAACTACCTGCAACTCCGGCTCCAGGCATGACCGTTGGTCTGGTACCTAATGAGATATAAAAACATATACTTCATGTATGTCACTGAAAATTTATTAGGCTAACTCAACGATAAAAGACAGTAAAGCAAATTATACGGAAGGCAACTTGTCACTAAAAACATGTTGCAAAGCAACAAAAGTTGCCATGTGTATGATAGCAAAGTAACATGTTGCTGCAATCTTTCCTCTCTTCTGGCAACTTTGTGCTGCAAGTTGCCTGATTGGCTTTAGAACCACGGCAGCCTTACCAAGGTTAGCGCAGACATCCGAACATGATAAACCATCCTAACTTGAACAATAGTCAACCTGGGATAAAGAGAGAATAATTGTGCATGAGTGTTAGTTTGTCATAAGCCCCAGTTGATAAAAACACACAACACACACACCTGTGTCCCCAAACATTTTTCGAATGTTAATTAGACACTATTTTTCAGATCTGTACTCTCTAACTGCTCACCAGAAGGTTACAGAGGGTGCTAGATCACCAGGGGGTGGTGCCTGCCACTCGAGATCTACGACAGTCTTGTCACTTCTGGACACATGTGTGGCACCAGCCTGATAGATAAAACAACGTACATGTATTAATTTACTGCCATTATTATACCTATTATTATAGCTGCAGCAATGATTCTGTTGAAAAGAACTTGGCTACATGGAGATGCGAGACTGAACAATATCCGTTACATTTTTGAAAGTGTGGGTTTAACATCTTTTATTGCGTGTTTACTGTGTATAGCTACATAGCTAAAACATGACTAACACTAGAAGCCAGCAAGTAGCGTGTATCAGAGGGTCAGAATTTAGCAACAAAAATGTATACTTACTGAAATTCAGATACTTACGTTGCTGCCACTACAAGGTCTTATCTGCCAGTCTGCGTTTGGAGTGACAAATTCACCGACAAACGGAGCTCCAGAGTCGAAGACGTCTGTCGTCTCGCGAGACTGAATGAAGAACCCGCGAAATGTAGTCTGATCCGTGCTTATAACTGCATGAAAAAACAAAATGAAAAAAACAAGAGTATAGCTATAAGCTTACTACTGAATAGCTAGAGTCTCGAGCAAAGTTTCCGTTTACAATTTTTATGAACTGTAGCTTACGCTGCAGGGGAACAATCTCTCCGCATGAATATGTTGGAAGTTGCCGGTCCAGCAGCTGTATTTGGAACGGGCAGGGATCAGGACAGTCGGTCGGTCCGACCAAATGACCGCCTATGGCCGGAGACAGCGTCCCGCACGCCGACGGGGGGGCGCCATTAGGGAATGCGGAGACAAGTGGTGCCCGGTGAGCACACCACACACAAAAGGTAGCAAACCAAACAGCGGCAGAGAAATGCATCTCAAGCGCTAACACTGCGAGGAATTCTGTTAGCTCTGTTATGCGAACGTTATTTCAAAGTCGCGGCTGTAGCAGCAATGTTGCTTGGACTTGGAATGTGTGCGTGCATCTTTGCGACTGGTACGAAAAGCTAGGTAGCTAGCTACAAAGACATATCCACAGAAGCCGTGCGCGCAGCCGTAGAGTGAGACTTGGAGACGGCGCGGGCGGCGCAGCACAATGTTTTGCGCTCTACGCGCATGCGCGCTAGGCATGTGGGGGGCGATACGCATGTGCACACACGCGGATGAATCACAACCGAGGGAAGGAATTTGTACACTACTGCTGTCATGAACGGGTGCGAGACGGCGGCCAACGGCGTGCAGGCGAACGGCCGCGCCACCAAACACGAAAAGATGGGACCAGAAGCCGACAAAATGGCGGAACTACGAGATCTCATCTGCCATCTCTACGACGTCGGGGCTGTCAAGTTCGGCAGTTTCAAACTAAAGAGCGGCATGGACTCACCCGTGTACTTTGACCTCCGAGTCATGGTGTCCCACCCTCAACTAATGGTTAGGCTAAATAAAAAATTCTCTTGTTCAGTCTTGTTGATGTTTTTAAAGGCAGATTGTAGTAATTAATGGTTAACTGAAGACAATTTGCAACTGACACACATTAGCCAATTACAAGATTCCACCCTTTTGTCATCATGTGACTGTCATGTGTCTTCTTCCAGTGTACTGTGAGTGAGTTACTGTGGTCCAAGATTTCCGACAGACGCAAAGAATTTACTTCACTATGCGGCGTCCCTTACAACGCTCTTCCCTTGGCAACCGTAAGTTAACACTTAACCAGCCACGGACACAAATGTGTCCAGAGCCTCCATAAGTCCATAAGAATTTATATGGGGGTTATAATACTAGGTGATTACTTCATACACCAATTACTTAAGCAGATACCCATGGCGTCCAAAGTGTTTTAATACCTGTCACTATGGACGTATGGAGTGGTGTCTTATCTCATATCATCTTATCATTACCTCGTTCCCAAAGCTAATATCAGTCAATCACGACATTCCAATGCTCATAAGGAGGAAAGAGGTCAAGACCTACGGAACTAAGGTACATAGATAATATTACTAGGAATGCGCACGCACATATTTTACCTCGCGCCGTGCCAGCCAAGCGTAAACAGTCCGACTGAGGCCGCTCGTGCGCGCGCTCTACTGACTGCGCGCGAAGTCAGACTTCCTACGAATCTGCACGCACGGCGGAAGCTAGACTTCCTACGAATGACGGAAGTTACACTTCCTAAGCGTGACTAATTGACATTCTTAAGCGTGACGACACGTACGTACGAGAATGCAACCCGGAGTAGTTGCCTCACGCTAACGCGCTCGGCAATAATGTATGCAGTGACATTACACATTACAATAATTGTAATATTACACATGTTCAGAATTAAATTTTTAAGCAATTAAAACTACAATAGAAAGGTTGCTGTTACAGGTATATAGCAAATCTAGGGCGAGACCCTCTCGATTTGAGACACCAATGGATAGAAAAAAGTGTCCATATTACAACTCCATACACTTAAGTACCATGTGATCGTATTTCCCGGCTAAATGCGACATCCTCTTATGCCATAATGGCCTCAATGGTCTTTGTGGGCAATTTCTTACATTTCTTTTTTTTCAGTGTTGTAATATAATTTGATTTTACGTGTGCAGTTTATTATGTATAATAATTATACCCTCTCCCTGAAAATATATTTCTTTAAAAAAAACTGTGCTTCGGCCTTTTTTTGCTCTCTCCCCCTCTGAAAAAAATTTTAAACTGCTTCATCCTTTTTTTACCCTCTCCCCCCTCTGAAAAATTTTTTTTAACTGTGCTTCGTCCTTTTTTGCCCTCACCCCCCCTCTGAAAAAATTTCTATTTCCAGAAAGCAATAGAAGGTTCAATAGTGCCAGGGGCCTACTGTTTAGTTGTTGAAGACGTCATATCTTCTGGAGGGAGTATTTTAGAGACGGTGGCCTCGCTGGAGAAGGAGGGGATTTTGGTGAAGATGGCGGTGGTTCTGTTGGACCGAGAGCAGGGAGCCGACAGGAACTTGAGAGAGAGAGGGATTATCGCCATTAGGTGAGGAGAGAGGGAGAGAAGAGATGTGGAAAAGGAATATGTGTGGATGTACCATACTGTATAGTGTTTCCAAAGAGGCTAAGGGCCGGTCTCCATAAAAATCTTTCTCAGTATTGTGAGGTCTGGACATACTAATGATGACTGTATGGTAACACTGACTAAATTTGCAAGACCAAAGGCCGGTCTCCATAATAATCTTTCTCAGTATTGTGAGGTCTGGGCGTACTAGTGACGATTGTATGGTAACACTGACTAAATTTGCAAGACCAAAGGCTGGTCTCCATAAAAATCTTTCTCAGTATTGTGAGGTCTGGACATACTAATGATGACTGTATGGTAACACTGACTAAATTTGCAAGACCAAAGGCCGGTCTCCATAATAATCTTTCTCAGTATTGTGAGGTCTGGGCGTACTAGTGACGATTGTATGGTAACACTGACTAAATTTGCAAGACCAAAGGCCGGTCTCCATAATAATCTTTCTCAGTATTGTGAGGTCTGGACGTACTAGTGACGATTGTATGGTAACACTGACTAAATTTGCAAGACCAAAGGCTGGTCTCCATATAATCTTACTCGGTTTTGTGAGGTCTGGACATACTAATGATGACTGTATGGTAACACTGACTAAATTTGCAAGACCAAAGGCTGGTCTCCATATAATGAAGACTGTACAATGGAAACACTTTGGCTACATTTCAAGACCCATTAAGACCACGCAAGTCTGGGTCTTGGAAACAGAAACGTAGTCTATAATATTCCCCAGACCGGTGCAGACCGCACAAGACTGAATAAGACTGTTTGTAGTCCAACTTCAAGCAACCCGGTGCTAGGAATATATTGGACAGGAAGTCCTTATCACAACATAATATTCCCCAGACCGGTGCAGACCGCACAAGACTGAATAAGACTGTTTGTAGTCCAACTTCAAGCAACCCGGTGCTAGGAATATATTGGACAGGAAGTCCTTATCACAACATAATATTCCCCAGACCGGTGCAGACCGCACAAGACTGAATAAGACTGTTTGTAGTCCAACTTCAAACAACCCGGTGCTAGGAATATATTGGACAGGAAGTCCTTATCACAACATAATATTCCCCAGACCGGTGCAGACCGCACAAGACTGAATAAGACTGTTTGTAGTCCAACTTCAAACAACCCGGTGCTAGGAATATACGCTGTATTCTGAGCTGTGGGCTGCGGGCTGCACCGTATCAGTATTGGACAGGAAGTCCTTATCACAACATCTAGCGCTAGGCTTAGTGCAAATTGTCTGGCTTCCAAAGTTTACACAACAGTCATTAGTACATTAGTGCAGGATGACACAGCAGAAATTCAGCATTGTGATTGGCTAGTTGGACTACAAATCAGTTAACGGCAGGCGTCTTGGCGCGTACAGGAAATCCTCCTCGTCTCGGGCTACGCCCTCGTCTGGTATAGTCAACAGCCAGCCTCGGAGTATCTCCTGTACCGCCTCGCCGCCTATACGTTAACTAATACATGGAGACCAGCCCTAAAGGTCACTCTTCCTAGACAAAAGTATTTCAGCGGAGCTGCTGTTACCACCAAAATCCCTCCTTCTCTTCCTCTCCCTCTCTCCTCCCCTCTCTCCCCCCTCAGTGTGTTCAACATGACGGAAATGATGGATATTCTCTACTCAGCTGGCAAAGTCACATCAGCTGAAATGGAGTCAGTCCAGAAATACCTCCAGACCAATGCCAGCGATCCGGTGGTTCGTAATTCCTTTTAACCTTTTGATTTTTCCGAACGTCAGCAGCAGGTGTGCTTCTAGTAGAATTTTGTATTACGCTAGCGTCAGATACGCTAAAAAAATTGAGCATAACTACGTTTGCTCCCCACTTTTGTGTTATATTCGCCTCTTTTTTTTTACTGCACTCTATCTTTTCCCATTTTATCTCCTTTTCAGTTTTACTTAGTACTATAGGGATCACATATTCACCATCTTTCAATTCAAAGAATTTGTTATTTACTTATGTTCATCTCAATTCCTTCCCCTCTCTCTCCTCCTCTCCTCCCTCCCCAGCCTCTCACCCTCCCTCCCTCTCTCACACCCTCCCCCAAGCCCCACACGGCATACAGCGATCGTATCTCTGCCACCAGCCACCCCCTCTCTGCCCGCCTTCTCTCCATCATGGACGACAAGAAGACCAATCTAGCTCTGTCAGCCGACGTTCAGACATCTAAAAAGCTCTTAGAGGTAGCCGAGACCACAGTGTACAATTTTAACATGATTAGCATGTTTCAATGACGAGGTAACGAGGTAGAAATGTGAGTGTATATACATATACGCATGTCTCAACAACAGTACTTGGTAACGAGGTAGAATGTAAGGCAAAGCAAAAAAGTCAACTACACCCAGGACAGCTCTTTCTGTTCAAGGAAAGAACTGAATGGGAAAAGGTGGGAGCGAGATAGGGGGAAAAAACAAAATAAAAAGGGAACAAGCAAAATAAGAAAGCTGGAAAGAAAAAGCAGGGGGTGAGGTAGGGGAGATTTAACAAGATTGGGAAAGTATAAACTACTTTTAAAAAGATGAGTTGTGTAAAAGATACAAGATTGGAGGGGAATATAGAACACTGTTGTAAACCTGAGTATTTTTCCCGTCACTGCACGCAGCTAGCTGATACAGTTGGACCTCACATCTGTCTACTGAAGACCCATGCAGACATCATGACAGACTTCACCATGGAAACTGCAAGTAACCTCAAGATGTTGGCTCAGCAGCACAACTTTATCGTCATGGAGGACAGGTATGCCTTCTAATTCACCATTCACCTTTTAACCCCTATGTCACCTAGCAAATCAGGTTATATGCGTACACACGAGCTTGTATAAACCGGTATGTACTTATATAACTTTTCTTTGGATATGTACGTACTTTTCTAAATTCTTGTTCTACCCTCTCTGGCAGGAAATTTGGTGACATCGGCAACACGGTGAAGCTACAGTACTCTTCACCGGCTCTGAGTCTACCGTCTGGGTGGGCGGAGCTTGTCACGTGCCACGCCCTCCCCGGTCCGGGTGTGGTGGAGGGGTTAAAAGAGGTGGCGGTCGAGGGAAGTGGGTGTGTGATGGTAGTTGAAATGAGTTCTCAGGGCAGCCTTACCACACCTGATTATGTCACAGGTACATAATATGTACACCCGGCCACAATACATTCATTTTGCAACAACTTTGCAAAACTATTTTTTGGTGTAAGCACACTACCTGTGATGGCAACTGGATTTTTTTCACGTAATAATGTTCTTTTAAACACGATTTTCAATAAAGCTAAAGCAACGACACAATGTTAATGCAATCAGTGACAGTGCTCCCTTTACAGGTGCTGTTGCCATGGCAATAGCTCACCCGGAGTTTGTGGTGGGCGTGGTTTCCCGTCACAGACCGACTGGCCTGCCCCCCAGCATGATTGTCATGACTCCCGGAGTAAAATTACTCCAAGGAACGGACTCCCTCAGGCAGAAGTACATTACTCCAGAGGAGGTATAATTATACACACAATAAGTTTTGCATAAAAATTTGTGTGCTCTAATAAGAAATCATTTTTAGGGGAAAAACAGTACATTTCTGTAGGAAATAAAAAAGTTTTTGTAGAGGACAGATTTTAGCAACTCTCTTTTTGAAACTTGCTAATTATGTGCCCATTAACTTTTGCTCATACACAAAAATGTGCAGGCCATTGAGGACTTAGACAGTGACATCATCATAGTCGGGCGTGGCATCTACACATCGCCTAATACCGTGGAAACAGCCAAACAGTTCAAGGAGAGAGGCTACTCTGCCTACTTGCAGAGAATTCAGAAGAACGGACAAGAACATTAGCCATGATGTCATCATCATTACTTGTACATGAACACTGTGTGATCACTCTATATATATAATGTACTGGTTCTAAATGATGCCCAATATTCAATTATAAATTATTCTCTATAATACTGCAACTTTCCTTGCGTGCTTCTGTCATCTTTGCATGCAGGTATTACGCAAAAGCCAAAAATGTTTATGGCTGGAAACTGAGTCTTGGGGATTTCTATATGGCAAGGCATACAAGCAAGAGTAACAGGCTACAATCTCTTCTTGAGAGGTCTGAAGAGGCATACAATTCCCCTCCTCTGGTGAAGAGCCTCGGAAACCTTTTCTCCCAATCCTTCCAGTTCCGCGGCAATCTTCCCCACCATCTCCCTCCTCCCCTCCCTCTCCCTCACCTCACTCATACCCTTTCTGTACTTGGTCTGCACAAACACCCTAGCACTGTGCCCTCGCTCTAAGAAATCTCTCAAATGTGACAGTTTCACTGCGAGGTCGTGCTCCCCGATCCGGGAAAATATCGTAATGTCTTTTGTCGTGTTTATCGGGTCGGCTTTTGCGGATTTTTTCTTCTTTTTCGCCTCCTCCCACTGCTGTTTGCTTGTGAACAGTCGATACACTGCTTCCGAATCGGGCGACGGTTTCTGGACTTCGACCAGTTTCAGGTTTTTCGACTCGGCTAGTTTCACTGCAATTTCAGAGTTCATTACTCCGAGATTGGTGCTCTGTTCGTCAATAAGTCTCATAGTTCGAGGTAGCGACATCTTCTTCTGTCGTTTCTTGAGGGCGATGTTGATTGCTCGACTCAAACATCGAGAGACGGTAAGTGAAGGAGAGAGACAAGAGGAAGGACGAATGAAGAAATATTTAGGGTCTTTTAGACGATTGAAAAGAGGAAATCCGTCAAAGGAATGATATCTCGAGTTTACTGGTGGGAGTACGCAGCAGGTACGCGTGAGGATGAAGGTAGTGCTCATTTTAGACCACGTGGAGTGAACAGAAAGGATTTTCCGCAGTGATCTCACGCTCATTGCTCATCTAGAACACATCGGTGATTCTTCTGAACACTTGTATCCGAGTACAGGGCTGTAGAGACAAGATTCTTCCGTGTGGACGAGACTAACTAAGGAGAACACGATCGTAAAGCAGGAGCTAGAGAACCATAGAAAGGCGTGGCTCTGCGACGTCTGAGCTCGCGCATGCGTAGTTCTTTTGCGCGGACGGCGCGCGGGAAATGATTTGGGAACAGCTCAGAGAGAACGACACCAGTACACTGTATAATGTGTATTACCCTACATTGCTACAACAAAAGTCCTTTGCAACTGTCTTTTTCAATGTCATGTTAGAGTTGGCATGACTGTGGACGAATCTTCATCTCCGAGTGAGTGAAAACAGTGTAACCTCTCACGGTCGTCCTCCACACAAGCCTCTCCCTCACTTTGTCAGTACTGCGAAGACCACTTGGTTGGTGGAGACCATTGAGATTAGCATCTGCACTGCACGGCCCATTTATTCCACTGTAGTACCACCAACCGCTCTGTCTTTTATAACCACAGTTGGTTGTAGTATGGTAGTAGTCGTAAGTGGTGAAGTAATAATGAAGATTCCCTTCATAAGTAAACAGTCGGTAATCTCCGTCCCCACTTCCTCGACCAATGCTTGGTGTGAGTGCATACTTATCAGTCGCACCGGATATATTGAAGAAAGGGTAAACCCAGTTGATTGTAGAATTCTCCGTGTCATTCCAAACCGATAGTCTTAATGCAACCCTTTGTTGATTTGATAGTTCGTAGATGTTTTTAAGTCCGATCCAAAATTCACCGTCTATGTCACCGAAACCTTTCTCGTAATCAGCCCAGCCCCGAGCAAAGTTAACCCATCCCATACTGGCATTACGTCGTTGGATTACAATCCACCCTCCACCATCTGTCTCCATGTCACAGTACACAATCAATCTCGAGCTGCTAAACAACTTATCACCAACCAAGCACGGATCCCTAATTGCATAGAGTCCTGATTTAGCTGATGGAAACATTTGCTTTATCTGTGAAAGGTGACAATAATTATTATAACAGTATGTTGTATAGTTACATACACCTAAGTATTGGAGTCCTTACCTGGCAACAATCTCTTGGAATATTGGTGTTGCACATTTGCGACAGGTCCAGTTCAGTTAGCTCGGGTGTGGTCAAATTCTCAATTCCTGCGTCTGTTTCTTCCAGCTCTCTAAGTGTACTATTCAGTGAGGCCCACAACTCGCTCAACCTCCCCAATTTACTCGTGCGACGATGATGAAGAGCAAATAACTCGGATATCTTTAGGGCCGATTCGTTGTCACATTCTGGGGGGCTGTACTTGGCTGCTTGTCCCACAATGAACACTGATGATATTACTGCCAAAAGTAGAACTAACACTTTCCCCTGGTATAATCACACCGATGAAATAGTTTAATACTGAAGCATTAATCATAACATACACTCATGATTGCGGTAGATTTCAGCAGTCAAAGAACCAAGCACCAGAGTTTTTCCACACAGCAGATACGTATGCAGTTACTGCACGCTGTATTAGCTAGCTCTTTTTATACAAACCAGACAGCAAAGGGTGGGCGGGTCTAAGTAGACAATGTGACTAGTGTGAGGAGTGGCATGCAACTGAATGATGTGTAGGTGTAGAAATGTGAAACCATTGGTGGGCCAGAACTCAATTACAACCATTCACACTCCCTTGTAGTTGTGGAGGACTGACCAAAGTGAAAACTGACGTGGGATGCAACAAAGGATGTGGAGGTGGAGTAGTAATATGTAACCAAAAGGTGGGTGGAACTTAATAGGGGAAACAATGCAATTCAGACACAGTGGAGCCAGCTACTCTATTGTAGTGGTGGTGGAGGAGTGAAACCAGACTATAATTAATGATGTGGAGGAGGAAGAATGTGAAACCAATGGGTGGGTGAGAAAGGGGAATAATGTAGTCCCAGCAGATGGTGCCAGATATATACTCTCTTGTAGTGGGGTGAAGGAGTGAAACCAGACTATAATTAATGATGTGGAGGAGGAAGAATGTGAAACCAATTGGTGGGTGAGAAAGAGGGATAATGTAGTCCCAACAGATGGTGCCAGATATACTCTATTAAGACTGACCAAAGAGGACTGTGGTACTAGATAGAGCATGTAGAGCAAAGGATGTGGAGGAATTTCAAACCAAGAGGTTGGTATAGAGTTACAGGACAATACAGGTAGAAAGAGGCTGGGGGAGGGACATTGTGTGCCTCACAACTCAATGGATTGAAAGAAATGAAAGGATTGTTGAGGCAGAGCAATGTATAATGAAAAGGAGAGCATATTCTAAACTTTAGAGGAATATAGCTAGTGAAAGGACTCAAGCTGAGCAGAGTTACACTTTCTGAAAATTGTTGCCTTTTTGTGTGTGCATAGTATTGTATGGCAAAAACAACCACAGTTTTTACTACAAGCCTTTCTCTGAGACGAAGGGTGATAATATAGGGATGTCACCTCATGAGAAAGAAAGTGGATTGAAGAAGAAAAACTATCCATTCCATCCTTAAATTTTCACGTGGTCAAATTTGAGGAAACCATACATTCTTACTGAAGTATGCAAGATACGAATTCCTGGTTTCACTTTGTGGTATATATATAGCTACACCCAAACTTTCATTAAAACATTCACTTGCAGCAAGCTAAACAACCTATGAAAATTGCACAAGCTACTGGTCTTTGTGCTACACATGTCTATAAAGACTGACGAGGAAATCATAGCTAATAACATGCTGAATGAAACCATATTATTCATGGTTCAAATCTCACCTATATAGGGCAGATCTTTTTTCTTAGATGTCCTGTGTGTTGTTTGGTTTGTCCATGCCTTGAGACCTTGCCGTTGACACATGCAAGAAATAACGTAAGTAGCGTCCGATTGACACAAATAAGAAATAATTATAACATAAATTGATGTGTATGTACAAATTATCTTGTGGATGGCATGCGTGTTTAAACTGTATCTTTGCTATTATCTATGCTACAAAGTTTCTGTTTAGGCACAGCTGCTCCTTTGCAGTTCTTGTTCAGCTCAGCTGGCATGACTGTGGACGAATCATCATCTTCGATTGAGTGTAGATAAGATAGCCGGAGGATGAGTTTTTCCACACAAGCCTTTCTGCCCTAACCTCAGTTTCACGAAGGCCACTTGGCTGGTGAAGACCATTTGGATTGACAGGCATACCACAGAGACCATCATAGTACCACCAACCACTCTGTCGTCTAAACCCACAGTTACTCTGATACTGTCCAGTATAGTAGTCAAAGGTGGTAAAGTAATACCTTGCATTCCCCTCATGAAGAAACGCTTTGGTGTCACTACCTTCACCACTACCACTTCCAATATGTCGTGTAAGTGCGTACCTATCGTGTCCATCAGATATTCTGAAAAATGGGTAATTCCAGTTGACATAATGCACGGTATCATTCCATACCGATAGCCTTAAAGCCATCCTCTGCTGATTTGTTAGCTCGTGTATATTTTTGAGTCCGATCCAAAATTCACCATCTAAATCACCGAAACCATTCTCGTAGTCTGCCCAATTCCTAAAAAAGTTAACCCATCCCATACTGGCATTACGTCGTTGGATTACAATCCACCCTCCACCATCTGTCTCCATGTCACAGTACACAGTAAGTCTTGCGGTGCTGTATAGGTCGCTACCAGTTGAACACGGATCTCTGATTGCAAAAAGTCCCGATTTTGCTGATGGAAACATTTGCTTTATCTAAAAAATGACCACCCAACAGCTGACAGTCACAATACAACGATCATTTCGTCTTACCTCGCAACAATCTCGTGGAATATCGATGATACAGGCTTGCGAAAAGTTTATCTCTTCAAGCTCAGGTGTAAACATGCTCTGTAGGGCGACGTCTATTTCTTCCACTTCTTCCAGTGTACTATTGATTGACACGAGTGCCTCTGTTATGTCTTCATTTAAAGTGTTGACTTTTTCCATTTTTTCCATGCGGAGTTGACGAAGACTAAACAGTTGAGAGATCTTCACAGAAGGCTCGTTCTCACATCTTTGGGGGCCGTACTGGTGGGCTTCTCCTGCTGAAAACGATGATATTACTGCCAGAAGAAGAGCAAGAGCTCTTCCCTGAAATGATAATACCAGCTTGATCCACATAGCCTAATTAGTAGGCAGCTGTATCACACATACGTTCATGATTGCAGCTAGCTGTGAACAGAGCTGCTTCTGGGAAAAGGTGGCCGAGGTACAGTGAGTAGTTACTGCACACCCTTTTTATACAAACCAGACAGAGTAAGGTGGGTGGGCGTAAAAGAGACAGTGTGACAAGTGGCATGCAATAATGAACGTGGGGATGGAGAAATGTAAAGCCAAAAGAGGGTGGGGGAGAGCAGCAAAAATGGAAACAATGTAGTTAGGGCATGCTACTCCCTTGTAGTGGTGGAGGCCTGACCAACACTCCAGATGTGGGATGTGCAACAAAGGATGTGGAGGTGTAGGAATGGAAAGCCTCAAAAAGGGACCAAATTAGTCCAGACACACTTGAGCCAGCTAGCTACTCTCATTGGTGAAGGAGTGGCGGAAAGTGAAAAACCAAAAGGTGGGTGGGAGACAACTCAGAAAGACACATAGGAGATAGTTACTCTGTACTGTGTGAAATACACACACTGAGCCACAACTTCCCACTAAACTAAACCAAAAAATATGCCATGGGTACAAGACTTGCTGACTACTGTTTTTGCAGCGTGTATAGTATATAACTACAAGTGGAAAAATCATTTCTTCAAAATGAAAGGGGGATATAGGGATGGCTTGAAGCACCAAAAAGGAAGAAACAAGGGGTCATTACACAGCAAAGTTGCACAAAGCTACATGACACCATCCCTATATCTTTGTTCGATATTAACCCTTAGCAAGCCACGGGCATAATCTATATATATAGCCTCCATAAGTCCATAAGAATTTATATATGTCTATAATACTATATAGGCGTTAATATGTTATACATCAATTTCTGCTTATTTAAGGAGATACCCGTGGTGTCCAAAGGGTTTTAAACTTTGCTTATAAACAATAAAACAAAGATATAGGGATGGTGTCATGTAGCTTTGTGCAACTTTGCTGTGTAATGACCCCTTGTTTCTTCCTTTTTGGTGCTTCAAGCCATCCCTATATCCCCCTTTCATTTTGAAGAAATGATTTTTCCACTTGTTTCCACTATTTTTAACAGCTTATGACAACACTGCATTTATTGTTACAGTCACTCTGATGTTCATGGCTATGTTGTAGATAGGCTACCATAGACAAATTGAAAGTAGTAGCTACTAGATACCGTGTATTGTCTTCAACAAGGATGTAATTAGATTATTGCACATGGTTGTGGTTTCATTGGCAGGCTTTGGTAATCAGGCTACAACCTGGGGGGGACAAACAATGAAGGCCCATTTCACTGAGCGCCCCGCAAGGCTCGCGTAACACCGCGCAGACTCTGGCAAGTTGCTCTTCGTGCATATCAACAGCAAGATAGCCAGTTGGAAATGTGCACACTTACTTACAGAAGGTACTGGAGGCTGACAGTTCCTCTGCAGGTCTGCCAACTCGCCTGGTAATATACGCATTGCCCCTGCCTTGCGCATGCGCGAGGCTCACTGATGCGTTGTTCAGTGTCGACCATGGAAGAGCTCCATGATCTACCGTAGTGACTAGTGGCAAGAAACAAACGATCGCTTGATGTCCCGTGCACACCTCCGGTGAAATTGGAGACCTTCAGTGAAAAAATCAGTGCTTAGATAGCGGGTGTTAAAGAAGAAGAAGAAGAAGAATGAAGAATAATAATATGATGACACCAAAATCGTGAAATCGCGTATGAGCGAATTCTCGCGTGGACGACTGAAGGTGCGTATGAGGTCTTGGGGGACATGTATAGGTAGATATGGGCCCGTAGACTATTGCTAGTGTGTTTTGAAGGCCTAGGGAGTGATTCTCACCGAGTTTTTAGTCGTTTTGTACGCGGATCACGTGAGATTCACCCGTGTCATCCCTATAATTATAGAGAGTCTCTAATACAGCACAGCAATATACACAGCAAATAACATGCAAAACCGTTGGTTGTTTCTGCACCCACTAAGTCTAGTGGAGCTGTTGTGTGGATACATACACACATTAACTCAAAAAATGTTTCTATTAAACATGCTTCTGTCTACTCTACAGTTTGTTTCTTTTTGTTCAGCTGTTTTTCTGTTGTTTAACTGAGGTTGCATGACTGTGAACGAATCTTCATCTCTGAGTGAGTGTAGATACGATTTCCACTTGAGGTCCTCCAGAAAAGCCTCTCTCCTGTTAAGTATGTTCCAGAAATACCACTTGGCTGATGGCGACCATTTAGGTTGGAATATTCACCACAATTTCCATTGTAATACCACCATCCACTTTGTCTACTAAAGCCACAATTGCTTCCACTGTAGCGATCATATGTCTGGAACTGGAACGCGGAAGTTGGTCCACGAGAAAAAGGACCATAACCATCTCCCCCACTGCCACTTCCACTGCTTCCACTCAAACCTGAAACTGCATATCTATAGTTTTTTTCATAAATCCTGAAGAGCTGGTAATTCCAATTAATTGAGTTTCCAGTATCATTCCAGACTCTCATTTTCAGTGCCATGTTTTGCTGATTTGTTAATTCATTGATAATTTTCAGTCCGATCCAAAATTCACCATCTAAGTCGCCAAATCCTTCCTCATAATCAGCCCATTTCTTGGTGAAATTAACCCATCCCATACTGGCATTACGTCGTTGGATTACAATCCACCCTCCACCATCTGTCTCCATGTCACAGTACACTGTGAGTCTTGAAGTAGTGAACAGTTTTTCACAGGGATCTTGTATTGCATATAGTCCTGATTTAGCTGATGGAAACATCTGCTTTACCTGTGAAAGTATTCATGGTGAGATGTACTTACTAGTCTTTTTGACTTACCTGGCAACAATCCCTTGGAATATTGGCATCACAGGTTTGTGACAGTTCTAATGCTTTAATCTCTGCTGTTGACATGTTCTCTATTGCTGTCTTTAGTTCTTCTGTCCCCTCCACTGTATAGTTCAGAGAGTACTCCGCCCGTCGTATCTCCTTGATTAACGCCAGCGTACTCTCCTGTTTCCTGATGAGGTGGTGGCGAAGTCCAAATAATTGAGATATCTTCACAGCAGCCTCATCGTCACATCTTTGGTAACTGTCTTCAGTTGCCTCCGTTGCTGTCAAATAATATAAGGCTACCCCCAGTAGCAGAAACTGGAATCCTCCCTATTTTCCAAGGATAAAAAGCAGCCATAGCTAACATTATAAGCTTTTGACATACCTTCATCATGGCACTCTATCAGTAAGTTGTTTCAGGGTTAGACTTTTGATTGGGAATAGGATATTGTGGCTCTTTTATAGGCTTCAAAATTTGCACAAACAACCACCTGCACAGTTTATCTAATGCGGGCCTGCTTGTACATTGTGATGCTGTAATTCTTTTTGCAAGGCAAGCACTGTGTGATTTTTTGTAGTTGTTTGTTTATGGACAGGAGGTAGCAAGAGATTGTTATACAGACTGCATTTAATTATAAGCTAAGTTTGAAAATTAGCTTAAAAAAACATGTTTTTCGTGGGCAGTGACAGATATTGTACCCAATATTATGACATCCCCAATAGATATGATGTGCTAAAGTGACGCGTGTATGATTTTACATGGTAGTTGTAAATTATAAGGTTACGCAGTCACCCTTGGAGAGGATGTGGGGGGGAAACTAATATGGTTTGAACATATTTTTAATGCCCAGCTAAATTTATTGAGCTAGTGAGAACATGGCACAAACAACCTGTTTTTCACCCACAGTTGGTGATGATGGCGCACATGGTGTTATGACAACCCCACTAGATGTGTGCTGAAGAGGCAATGTGTGGTATTATAGACTGGTTCACATGGGGTCCTCTAGCAGAAGTGAGCGGCAGAGAGCAATGTCTCACAACAAACACATAGTAGGTAGCTATAGCATTTGCTGCTTTAGCAAAGACCTTGCAGAGTAGAATACCTATCACCCAAAACGATATCATGGTCCCAATAAATTATGATGTCATCTTTATACATAAAGTAAAGACACACATGTATACATAGCGACACTCAAAAAAGATACACAATTTTGGTATAAATATTCATCCACCTATAGCTACAATGGTATTCTGCAGTTCTACTTGTTTGAAGCAACTGGTCATTCAACGTGGTTATTTCAACTAAGAGGACATGACTGTGGCCGAATCTTCATCTCCGAGTGAGTGTAGATGCGATTTTCAGTTCATGTTGCCCTCCACATCTTTGTCCTATCAGTTCTAACCCACAGACACTGCTTATTTGATGTCAACCATTCGGATTGGAGTTGCTGCCAGTTATATACCATTGTAGAACCGCCATCCACTTGTCTAAAGTAGCCACAATTAGTCCGTCCCTAATCATGTGTTTGAAGCTAGCTGTTTCCGTGAATTGTGTCGTAGTTAAGCAAAAGTGTAGTCAGCAGATAAGCGTGGGGTCAGTAGAATACAGCTGCTATCAACATCATGTGTGTGAGTTTGATATGAAAGTGGAAGCAAAGCAACGAAATTAATAATGACAGATACTATGCTAAGCTTAAACGTTGCCTCCTCTATTGCTGATAGTATTAGATGTTATGACGACCAACAAAGTCTGTCCCCATGTGTTCCCCCTTGCTGTACTTATTACATCGTTTCATGCAGTGGAAACCTTACCATGTAAGATGTACGCATTATACATCTGATGTGGTAATAATAGCAGTGTGTTTTCATAAAAACTGTGAAGCTAAGAGGCGCATACAATACATGCACTCAAAGTGTTCTACAAAATACCTATTCCTACAATGTCGTGTTTATCCTAACTAAAGGTGTTGATCACGGAGTTTTGATTCTCAGTTTACTTGTTTAACTGAGGTTGCATGACTGTGGACGAATCTTCATCTCAGAGTGAGTGTAGATACGATATCCACGGGACATCCTCCACACAAGTCTCTCACCAGTCTGATCTATTCCACAGATACCACTTGGTTGGTGATGACCATTTGGATTTGAATTGCTGCCACACTGATTTGTATAGTACCACCATCCACTTTGTCTAGTGTAGCCACAATGACCCCATCCAGGTCTATAGTAATCATATGTTTGAAAATCAGTGTTGCCGTTTATGGTTTGACCAAAAGCATTATATGGACCATCTCCACTGCCTCCACTCAATTGATAAAGTGCGTATCTATTGTTTTTGTTGTTTATTCTGAATAGTTGGTAATTCCAGTTCATTGAGTATCTTTCATCCCACATTTTCATCTTCAGTGCCATGTTTTGTTGATTTGTTAGCTCATGTATAACTCTGAGTCCGATCCAAAATTCACCATCTAAATCACCAAAACCTGTCTCGTAGTCTGATATATTCCTGGTGAAATTAACCCATCCCATACTGGCATTACGTCGTTGGATTACAATCCACCCTCCACCATCTGTCTCCATGTCACAGTACACTGTTAGTCTTGCATCACCGAATATCTTATCAACACTTGAACAATGGTCTTTTATTGCATAGACTCCAGATGGAGCCGAGGGAAATAGCCTTTTGATCTACACAGAAATAAATGTGGTAACATAACACTTCATTCGCAGATGCACTAATTACCTGGCAACAATCTGTTACAAACAACTCATCTGAACATATTTGTTGTTCTTCAAGCTCTTCGAGTTCTGGTGATGTTATGTTATCCATTCGAGCCATTATTTCTTCTGCTTCATCACGTGTTTCATTGAGCTGCCCTTGCATTTTAACTACTGCACTTTCTGCTTCAACTAATTTTCTTTTAGCTTCATTTGTCGCTTCATCTACCTCCCTTTCAAACTCAAGAATTCTCACTTCTTTCTTTTTATGATGCTCATGAAGTCCATGCAACATAGATAGTTTAACTCTCGATTCATTACCGCACACTCTAGATGCTTCTGCTCCTCTCATTATGTATAATAATGTTGCTGCAAGTGCTGCAAGAACAATAACCTGCAAAAGAAGGAGCATAAAGACACTCTCTCTCATGAATGTATTAAAGCATACCTTGTTTGGTTTCATTGTATCCAGTTGTAAATTTGCAATGAAACAGCAGCGAATTAGCAAATATCCACAGAGACACAAAGTGCCGTACTGCATGGTGATGTTGTTTTATAAGTGGGGCGATAGTAGTGCCAACCACAGTCGCACAATAATAATCATGACGTAAATTCAGGTTAGTACGCATGCGCAATGGCATGCTATAATTTTAATGGGACTTAATAAGCTGTAACTTATCTGACAGAATCGAATGGATGCTCCATAGCCACTGGATGTGGTCGATGGCATGCAGTAGCTGATGTATCTTGTATCAGACACGTTGCTTACTGATGTATTTGCCCTGACACTTGCTATATAGCTTGTGTTCAACTGGATACCATGCTTTAAAAAACATGTTTTTCGTGGGCAGTGACAGATATTGTACCCAATATTATGACATCCCCACTAGATATGATGTGCTAAAGTGACGCGTGTATGATTTTACATGGTAGTTGTAAAATATAAGGCTACGCGGTCACCCTTGGAGAGGATGTGGGGGGAAAACTAATGTCTTTTGAGCATATCAAAATTTTTAATGGCCAGCTAAATTTATTGAGCTAGTGAGAACATGGCACAAACAACCTGTTTTTCACCCACAGTTGGTGATGATGGTGCACACGGTGTTATGACAACCCCACTAGATGTGCGCTGAAGAGGCAATGTATGGTATTATAGACTAGTTCACATGGGGTCCACTAGCAGAAGTGAGCGGCAGAGAGCAATGTCTCACAACAAACACATAGTACGTAGCTATAGCATTTGCTGCTTCAGCAAAGACCTTGCAGAGTGGAATACATGTATAGGTTTGATGATGTTTGATAATAGAGCATACTTGCCATCATCAAACATACTTGGTATATGTTTCTCCAGCACAATGCCTGAATTCCCTATAAGGAAAGCAAAGTGGGTGTTGATTAGGAAGTAGCTTAGCCCTCTGACTCAGCCCTCTACTGTTGGTGATAGTACAGCTAAGTGGATGCTACTATATACTGGCCAATAAATCATACCCTATAATGCGCCGTTGCTAGGGTAACATATACCAAATCACCCAAAATGATATCATGGTCCCAATAAATTATGATGTGCATTCTTTATGCATAAAGTATAAAGACACACATGTATACATACACTCAAAAAATTGTTGTTTATTATTTTATCTAGCTACAGTATAGCTAAATGGTATTCTGCAATTTTATTTGATTGAACCAATTGGTCATTCAATCTGGCTTTTTCAACTAAGGGGATATGACTGTGGCCGAATCTTCATCTTCGAGTGAGTGTAGATGCGATTTTAAGTTCATGTTGCACTCCACACAAGTCTTTGTCCTATCAGTTCTAACCCACAGACACTGCTTGTTTCGCGTCGACCAATCGGATTAGAGTTGCTGCTACAGTTACCATTGTAGCACCACCATCCACTTTGTCTAAAATAGCCACAATTAGTCCGTCCCTAATCATGTGTTTGAAGCTATTTCTGTGAGTTGATAAGCGTGGGGTTAGTGGAATACGGTTGCTATCAACAGAAAATCCTGATCATGTGTGTGAGTTTGATATGAAAGTGGAAGCAAAGCAACGAAAATATTATTAATGACAGCTACTATGCCAAGCCTAAACGTTGCCTCTTCTATTGCTGATAGTATAAGATGTTATGACGACCAACAAAGTCTGTCCCCAGGTGTTCCCCCTTGCTGTACTTATTACATCGTTTCATGCATAGTGGAAACCTTACCATTTAAGATGTACGTATTACACATCTGATGTGGTAATAATACCAGTGTTTTCATAAAAACTATGAAGCTAAGAGGTGCATACAATACATACGCTCAAAGTGTTCTACAAAATACCTATTCTTTATCCTAACTAAAAGTGTTGATCACGGAGCTTTGTTTGCTTCATTCACAGTTTACTTGTTTAACTGAGGTTCATTATACAGAGTGAAACCCATACCATGAAAGATGTACGTATTACATATCTAATGTGGTAATAATAGCAGTGTGTTTTCATATAAACTTCGCATTACATTACGCACGAAAGTGTTCTATAATGTCATGTTTATCCTAACTAAAAGTGTTGATCACAGAGTTTTGTTTGTTCGGTTTACTTGTTTAACTGAGGTTGCATGATTGTGGACGAATCTTTATCTCCGAGTGAGTGTAGATACGATATCCACTAGACATCCTCCACACAAGTCTCTCACCAGTCTGATCTATCCCACATCGACCACTTGGTTGGTGACGACCATTGGGATTTGAATGACTGTTACAGTTACCGCGATAGTACCACCATCCACTTTGTCTGGTGTAGCCACAATTACCCCATCTAGGTCTGTAGTAATCATATGTGTTAAAATCAGTGTCGCTGTTTATGGTTTGACCAAAAGCATCATATCTACCATCTCCACTGCTTCCACTCAATTGATGAAGTGCATATCTATTGCGTTTTTCGTATATGCTGAACCTTTGATAATTCCAATTCATTGAGTTTCCATTGCTATTCCAAACTTTCATTTTCAATGCCATGTCTTGTTGATTTGTTAGCTCATGTATAACTTTGAGTCCGATCCAAAATTCACCATCTAAATCACCGAAACCTTTCTCGTAGTCTGATATATTCCTGGTGAAGTTAACCCATCCCATACTGGCATTACGTCGTTGGATTACAATCCACCCTCCACCATCTGTCTCCATGTCACAGTAAACTGCTAGTTTTGCATAACTAAATGGGATTATCACCGGCACAAGGGTCCTTGATTGCATAGATCCCAGATGGAGCAGAGGGATACAATTTCTTTATCTAAAAACAAAGCAAAGTTGCATAACCCTAGCATAAATGTATACATCTCGTCTTCAAGTGATTTACCTCGCAACAGTCAGCAACAAATCCAGCCTCTGAACAGATTTGTAGCTCTTCGAGCTGTTCCAGTTGTGGTGTCGTCATATTTTCCATCATTGTTTTGATCTGATCCGCTTCATCACGTGTTGTGTTTATCTTTCTCTTCATTTTAAGCATCGCTGATTCTGCTTCGTTTATTTTATTTTGGGCTTCATCTACTTCTGTTTTGAGCTCGTGGACTCGAATCTCTTTCATGACATGGTGCTCGCGAAGCCCGTTCAAAACGGATAGCTTTACATGAGAGTCACTGTCACACACCATTTGGTTTTGTACTTCCTTTACCAGGAGCAGCAGCAACGCAACGAAAATCACCTACAAAATATTGTATAAGTAGCGCACAGTAGGATATTCAGACACTTACTTTCATTTTTGGCCCTGTTATGATAGTGACCGTAGTCAGAGCGAGTTTGGGATTGCAAACAAGCCATCCTTTTATACTTTCGCCAGGTAGGGAGGTGGTGGGCAGCTATAGTGAGTGTCTGGTGTTTTTTAAGAAAAATGTAGGCAGTCAGCAAGCAAGCATGGGGTTAGGGTAACATTGTATCAGCAGAAAATATTTTCGTTGGTAGGTAGCTACCAATCACGTTTTTGACTTACATGTTGGTAAGACTTGAAAGTATGAGTGTGCTGAATATGTACAATCAAGTATCTTTATCATGGGCTCTTTGTTATTGCCGAGCGTATTAGCGCGAGGCAACTACTCCGGGTTGTATCTCGCGATATATCGTACTGTACGTCCAATAGTCACGTGTTTGGGAAGTTAGTCGTCACCAAAAGAGTGTAACTCTGTCATTCGTAGGAGTTTACTAGTCTGCCGCCGTGCGCGCGCAGATTCGTAGGAAGTCTGGCTTCGCGCGCACAGTAAGTAGAGCGCGCGCACAGTCGGACTGTTTACGCGCATGCATTGGCGCGAGGCAAAATTTGCGCGTGCGCATTCCTAGTCTATCTTTTAAGTATTTTTATTTATTTTTATAAAGAAGAAAAAAACAAAATCCAACACAAAACAACCAAACAAAACAAACAAAAACACTACTATATCAGCGGGAACTTTATGGCGCCTCTGCAGCGGCAAGTCAATGTTGATGCTCACTGACTGGGCGTGGCTGGAGAGGATCTACTCCTCGAATGCAGAGGATAGCAGATCGGAGGTATAGCGAATGATAGGCGAGGCAGCGAATCCAACCATGGCAGAGAGTATGCTTGTCCCGGCTTCCTCGGGACACCTCACAGCATGTCTGTTGTTAGTATAATGATCGTGGCTTCACGTGCCATCCCACCAGTACGTTGAGAGGACAAGTGGTGTAAAA